CCAGCATAGATTGTCATTGGTGTTTTTGATTTTAGCCATTCTGACAGGTATGAGGTGGTATCTCAGAGTTGTTTTGAGTTGCATTTCTCTGATAGCCAAGGATTTTGAGCACTTTCTTAAGTGTCTTTCAGCCATTTTCAGATTCCTCTGTTGAGAATTCTCTATTTAGTTCTGCACTCCACTTTTTAATTTCATTGTTTGGTGTTTTGGTAGCTAGCTTCTTGAGTTCATTGTATATTTTGGAGATCAACCTTCTGTCAGATGTGGGGTTGGTGAATATCTTCCCATTCTATGGGCTGTCGTTTTGCCTTACTGACTGTGTCCTTTGCCTTACAGAAGCTTCTCAGTTTCAGGAGGTCCCATTTATTAATTGCAGATCTCAATGTCTGTGTTACTGGTGTAATGTTCAGGAAATGGTCTCCTGTGCCAATTCATTCAAGGGTATTTCCTACTTTCTCTTCTAATAATAAGTGTGGCTGAATTTATGTTGAGATCTTTGATCCATTTGCACTTAAGTTTTGTGCATGGTCACAGATATGGATCTATCTGCAATCTTCTGCATGTCCGAATCCAGTTGTGCCAGCACCATTTGTTAAAGATGCTATCTTTCTTCCATTGTAAAAAAAAAAAAAAAGAATGTCACTGTCTGTTACTTTCCTTATAGGAGAAAGGTCATTCTATGCTACTATAATCTGTTTTGCTTGCTTTTGGAAAAATGGAGCTATAGTTTTTTGATTTTGTAATACTTAGCTTATAGGACTTTATTTTGGTTTTATCTCGTTTTCTGTGTTTAATGCAGGGTTCAACATTACCCATGTCAATTATCTATATTAATTACCTAGTTAAAAGTTGTTTAACAAAAATACAAAAAAAATTTTTGCTGAATTAGGCTAATAAAGTAGCTTAGGAAGGGCCACAGTGAATGTTCAGATAGAATAGAAACTGAATTAAAGTCATAGGCAGTGGCCATGTGTTCTTCTAGGAGTATTATGCTTAAGAGGCATGGTTCATAGTTGGCTGAACTAGTTGCTAGTCAGTGCAGGCTTAAGCAAATAATTTTCTGTCTTTGTACTTCAGTAACCTTTACTGCAGATAGCAATTAGTGATTCGCCACTCTTAGAGAAATTGTGAAGGGATTGAGAATTGTGAAAGGTGAATTATACTGAAGTACTTACATAGCGTTTAACATCTTAATTGCAAAGGCTTTATATTAATATTTTACTCATTGATAGTTTTTCTTTAAAGAATTAAGTGAGGAAAATGCTTAACATTTAGATCCCCAGAACCCACATAAAAGGTGAGTGTGACAGTGCATCTGTATTCCAGCACTAAGATGCAGAGATGGCAGGGTATGGGGGCTTTCTAACTAACTGGTCTAGCCAGTTGGTGAGCTCCAGGTTCCATGAGAGACTCCATTTTAAAAAATAAGGTGGAAAGCAGTAGAGAAAGACATCTAACATAGACCTCTGGCCTCTGTACCTGCATATACAAAAAAGCAAGTCATTTTTTTCACTTCAGCTTTTAGATGTTTTTCACAATAGGTGATTTTAGAGCTTATAGTACTAGTGTGAAATACTGACGTGAGGGACTTTGTGTATTGCGTTAGTCCTTAGTTTTCTAATTTGCATTCATTAGTTCAAATTTTTATTTGATGGCTTTAATTTGGAAATTATTGGTCATTCAAAGATTTCATTTATTAGAAATAAAATAGTATCTGACACATACCTTTATCCCCAGCACTCGGAAGGCAGAGGCAGGCAGATCTCTGTGAGTTTGAGGCCAGCTATTTTATTTTGAACAATATAAATTTATCAAAATATATGTCATAATTCTGATAGGTATAATTTAAAACATGAAGCTGTTTGCTGGATATTTCTTAGTTTCTGTATGGATTACAGTAGAGTATAAATAGCTACAAGGTGGTAAAGTGTAACTACATGCAATGAGTAGTAACTGCATGTAGGAGTAGTTTAGAATACTCTTACTGTAGATTAAAGACTCAGCAGTGTTTGAGTCTTACTTGCTGCCTCTTACTTGCTGGTTTCTGATCTGTTTAGGATCCACGTTTGATTACTCCTTTGGCTTTTGCTTTAACATCAGATAATAGAGAACAAGTACAGTCTGGATTGGGAATATTGCTGGAAGCTGCTCCACTGCCAGATTTCCCTGCCTTAGTGTGAGTTGTAATAATTTTCAGTATCTCTTAATATAGTTAGAATGTCGTTCTGTTTCTTCATAATCCTCCATGCATATTTATCAGTAAATTGGTGACTACCGATTTTATTGTAATATCAGTAATCTGTCAAATAATTAAAATTCTGATTCCTGTAATAGAAAATGGCACAATTTACTTTCTCAAAGAAAATATAGATGCAGTTGATTAGCTGTGTTCATTTTGCTGTTTTGTTTTTTTCTTATCACCTCTTCTGAATATAGATTCTAGACACTGAAATTTGAACCAATTGCTTTAGTTCCTTTTGTAGAAAGAACTTTTCCTTTCTGGTTTATTTGCCAAGGAATCCTAAGAACTACATGAACTCTAATTAAGCTGGGAAAGGTCAATGGGGGGATTCTGAAAGAAATAGTAAGTATTTTATTATAAGATGGAGTAGATGATGGCCAGACAAAAAACAAAATTTACTATATTCTTTCATTTCAGATAATAGTATATTGAAAATGCTGTAGGGTTTATTTATTTATTTGTTTTGTTTTAAGTGGGGTTTGTGTATTAGGATAAGAATATGTGAACTGAATGGTACTATAGTCTGTACTTGGGATTTAGTATTTAGAACTTTAAGTAGTATATATAATAGAATTTGTATGGAGGGGAGTAGCTAATTATTCATATTACATAGAGCGTTAATGAAAACCTCTCTGGAGAGGTAAATTTAAACCAAAATCTTATGGTAAGGAGTCAACCCTATTCTGATAGTTTCAAATAAAGGAACAGCTCTTCAAAAGGCCTTGTGATATAAACAGGATTGGCTTTTAGTGGAACAGAATAAAAGTCAGGTTGATAAGGATATACTATGTGAGAAAAAGAAGGGTCAAGGGAAAATAGATGAGACCTAGTGATACTATCTATAATAAGAAGACTGTTCTGGGTAATACAGTAACATTGTACTCATTGCAAATACTCTATACTCACTAACTCGTGCTAGAATGCCTTCAAACCACACATGGAATTGTCACATATAATATGTACAAAAGAGTCCTCTGGAAAATTTAGAATGTTTCCCCAGACTGTGCTTTATTGTGGTTACCTAAAATATGATTTCCAGTATATTTCAAGACTTATAGTCCCCAAAGAAGACTCATTTCCAATTGCTACTGTAGTTTTATAACAACTCTGCCTTTTGTTCCATTCTTGTGATTGCTTTTTCTTCCTGACTCTTATTCAGACTTGGAGAAAGTATAGCAGCAAACAATATATATAGGCAGCAAGAAACCGAGCATCTGCCCAGGAAAATGCCTTTGCAGCCCTTAAATCACTTTTTTCCAGCAACAGCAAAGTGCTTAACACCTCCTCTTTCAAAAGATAATGCTCCTTCATTGAATATTGAGGAACTAATAGAAAAACTTCAGGCTGGAGTAATGGTGAGTGATGAAGTAGCACTTTTCTAAATGGGCCCATGCTTGGTTTGGCCAGCCAAGTGTCAGCTCTGATTACAGCATTTATTTTAACAACTTTAGATGCAGATTTGATCACTGAAACTTTACACCTTGACATTAAAAGTAAAATCTGGTCATTTTTCAAAGAAAAGAAGCAGTATAAAATTTAAACCTTTTTTTAAAAAAAAAGCAGTTGTCATTCTTGTTCTAGTCCCCTTCCTGCCTGCCTCCCATATGACTTTAGAAATAAAGTCATGCACAATTATGATACACAATACAGTATGGTCACAATGGCATGGCTAAATAAAACCAATTAACATGTTACATCACACATATTCATCATTTTTGTTTTAAGAACACTTAAAGTATACTATCTCACAACTTTTAAAGTATAGCATATTGTTATCAACCATATTTATCATGCTCTCAGTAGACCTCAAGACTTCACAGAGTCCATGCCTCTTGTCCAACTGCAGTTTTATATCCTTAAACCAATCGTTTCCCCATTGTTAAAAGACCCACATTGAAGCCTAATAGCCACAATTCTGCTCTCTGTTCCCATAAGTTCATCATTTCTAGGTTACACATAAAATTTTTTTTTTTTTTTTTTTTTTTTTTTTTTTTGGCAAGCATAATACTTTTAAGTCACCATATGAATACTTGACCTTGCTCAGATAGCCAAATTAGTGAAATATTTGTGACCCACTTGATACAACATATGTTTTACTCTTCAGCTTTAATGATTTAGTTGCAAAGTAGACTTTCAATTTTTCTTTTTTCAAATTCATAATTTTCCGATTTTAATTCTATAAAACCAGGTAAAGGATCAGATTAATGATATAAGAATATCTGACATAATGGATGTTTATGAGATGAAACTTTCCACATTAGCCGTGAGTACAAGCTTATTTTAACTGTGTAATGATGTGGGCATTTCACAGATGTTTTCCTTAACAATGGACATTAACAGTCTATTTTCTTCTAGTCTAAAGAGAGCAGGTTACAAGATCTCCTGGAAGCAAAAGCCCTGGCTCTTGCACAGGCTGACAGACTGATCGCTCAGTATCGTTGTCAACGAACTCAAGCAGAGACAGAGGTCTGTACACTATGTAAATAAAGCATGTCTGATGCTTCATCAGTGCAATAAATAAAAAGCATACACAACATTAGTGACAAGTATGCTACTATTAAATGTTGGAACTGAGGTGAATTGCCTTGAGCATTTCATGCAAGCAGTTCGTTCATTTTGAAACTCTTCCCTTTACTTTTAACTACATTATCATCTCAATTTTCTTTCCGACCTGATTGATATATGCTTGTCTATATATCACTAATGTTCTACTCTTAAGTGTCAGAGTTCCTCAGAATTATATTCTGAGCCCTTCCTTTCTTATTTTTATGTTGTATAGTTTCAGCCATTACTAAAAGTCAATGTTCCCAAATTTATGGCAGAGATCCCCGCCCCCCAGCACTAAATGCACAAGTCATTTGGGAAATGCTTGAAACTCTATCTTGTTAATGGTAAAGTACTTACCCTAGATTTAAAATATACTTATAGTATAGTGGTCTATGTACTGCTTGAGTTTTCTGACTTAGAAACCTGGAAATCACTGTTTCTCTACTGGATTATTTACCAAGTTTGGCTGATAGACTTAACTTTATAGTCTTCTACCTTAATTCTGTTACTCAGACATACTCTGCACTTTAGTGGTATTCTGTGTTTTGTGCCCTTCCCTTTATTCTGATTCCCAAAAAGTATCTGAAGGAGTGCCTCATCCTATCTCCCCAGTGCTTCATGGCAGTTGTCATTTCTCTCTGCTGTCACTGAAATTCCTTAATTTGAGAAAAGAAAAAAAAAAAATCACTCTACCCTACATCTTCCATATTTTGTTAGTAATTTGCAGGTAACTGATTTGCATTTTGGTAGAACTTATCATAGTCTTACGTTTTCTTAACTTTGAATTTCCTCAGAGTGCCTTTTCCTCTTTTCTTGCTAAATACCTCATCATCTTCCGTTTTCATTTAAATGCCCACATCCCTACAAGACTTTTATGGCCGTTTTGTCCCTCGTATGTTTGGCTCTCCTTTTATGTCTCCACCTGTGCTTGCCTCTTCGTAATATTTCCCATACCATATGAATACCATGCTACCTCCCACCCCTACTTGTGATAGTAAAGACTGTTTATGAGTCTCCAAGCCCTAAATACCTTCTTGGCATATGGTATGTAAGTGCTTTATAAGTTTGATAATTAAGGTACTTATGATATATACCTTATGGATGAAAACTGTGCTTAATAATATGAAATTCTTAGCAGATTCACATGGAATTTATTCATTATTTCATTTAATAAATTATAAAATTGTAAAAGTTTGAAAGAGGGATTAAAATTGCTAAAAAGTAAAATACCTTTAAGATAGTTTCAGGATAAAGGTATTCTAAAAATTGTAAGAAATGTAACTGAGAAGAAAGGGGAAGAAATAAGCATACATTCTATCCCTGGATTATGTATTATCTTTGTTCTTCTCCTGTTGCTGAAGTAAAATACCTTCACTAAAGCAACTTAAGGAAGAAAGGATTTATTTTAACCTGTAATTCATAGGAACGTTGGCAAGGAAATCAAAGTGTTCAGAGTCTGAAGTGACAGGTTACACTGCACGTACAGTCAGTAAAGTGACAAGCATTCTAATGCTCTGTTCACTTTCTCCATTTCATGCATTCCTGGATCCCTTGCAGGGGAAATGGTCCCATTCAAAATTGAGACAGGTCCTTCCACATCAATTAAACTAATCAGATAACCCCCAGAGACCCATTTACCAGGTCATTTCAGACTCTCTTAAGGTGTCAAGACTAACCATTACATGTATTAATATAATATAAAAAGCGTGATTTTCTGCAAAAATAAACCTTTTTTAGTATTTGTGTTTATTTTTAAAAATACACAAAAAAGTTTTAAAAAGGAGGATGTGTGTGTGTGTGTGTGTGTGTGTGTGTGTGTGTGTGTGTGTGTGTGTGTGTGTGTGTGTCTCGTCCACTCCCCCACTCCGTGCCCCTGTACACTCCCTCACCCCCGTATTTTAGCATGCTTTCATTTGTCTTGATGGATACATTGAACTTCTAAATGCCAAAAAATTAAATGAGTAATATTGAAAGGGTTTATTCCTCTCACTTTTCATAGTATTCTCTTACATTGTATGTTTTTTGGGCATCTTATTCATTTTATTACACAGTTTAATGTTTTATCTATATTGTTGAAGAGCTCATAAAATAACACTAATTGTTATCCCTTTTTATAGTCTGTGCCTTAAAAGTAATAGGGTTGGCACAGGTTTCTATCAGACATTTAAAATTTTTTTTAATGTAAAGTGGTAGACAGTATCCATTCCTTATTCTAATTACTGCTTATTTAGGCTGTGTTCCCTAGTTAATTAGTTAATACTAGCTTAATTTTAAATGCTAGGTCAGTATCTATGATTTTAGTATCTTGTTCTTGATTCTTACCTGAAATGAAAAAAACTGATGTGTGTAAACTTAGCAGATTAGGGTTGATGGCTACCCCTAAGGACTGTGTCTTTTCACCTGAGTAATATATAGAGAGTTAATTTTTTTAATCTTTTGGCTGTGTGTATTTCTATTCTGGTCATGTTGAAATTGCTTTTGTTGGAACAGTCTATTAAATTAAAGCTTATAATGGTGTAGTTTTAGTCTTCAAACTTTGAAAGCCTAAATGCTTCAAAATCTGTAATGTTGGACTGATGAGATGGAGTAGTAGGTAAAGGCCTCTGTCACCAATCCTGATAAGCTGAGTCAGTCCCCAGAACACAGATGGTGGAAAGAGAAATTTATTTCCACAAGTTTAAGTTCTGACCTCTACACATGCATAGCGATACACACACACACACACACACACACACACACACACACACACACACACACACACAAATAAATAAATAAAACGATACAATTTTTAAAGTAACTTTTGAATCCTGTCATGATATGTGGGTAGAAAATTCTCCACTATAAAACTTTTATGTGTAAATTTTTAAAGCAAAAGTGCATAAAATTACCTGCAGGTTATATACATAAGGGAAGTGGAATATAAATAAATTTTGTGTTTAGATGTGGGTCTCATGTATTTGTTACATATGTGGAATATTCCAAAACCTTGAGGAATCTAAAGTAATTATTTTAAACCTGAATCAGATTTGGAACTAGTTAAGAATATACAACTAATATAGTTTTCTATAGTCCGGGAGATTCTAAATTAGTATTTGGTAGCTCTTTTAAATTGTGCAATTTATCAATTATGTATGTTTATATTGCATGTGTGAATTTATTAATACATTCTGAGAAGAGTGTTAGACAGTGTTGTTGTAGTGCCAACACCACATAGTGTTCTTAAGCTAAAATAACTAGGCAAAATAATTCAGTGGAACCACCACCAGCTATGTGATAGCATGTTTACCCAAGCATTTCGACATGGTGTGTGTATATCTGATAGTGGAAAATGCATGTTTCATTTCCTTTTGAGGCACGAACACTTGCAGGTATGTTAAGAGAAGCTGAGAGAAAAAACGAAGAGCTTGGTATATTGTTGAAGTCACAACAGCTGGAGTCGGAAAGAGCCCAGAATGATATTGAGCATCTCTTTCAACACAGTAAGAAGTTAGAGTCTGTGGCTAAAGAACATGAAATACTTACAAAGTCCTACATGGAACTTGTTCAAAGGTAAATCAAGTAAAAGTTTCTGTGTAAAGTTAAAATCTAAGTGAAAATGCCACATTTCCTCAACTCTAAATAATTTTTTTAAACATTTCTTAAATTGTCGTGACAACATGAAATATGTAGTTCATAAGAGATTTAGACTGCCTAAAAGTGAACTGAATGAGAATAACAATAGACATGCCACAGTGGATAGGGAAAAGACCATGAGGCCTCAGCCCTACACAAAGAACTACAGGCGACCAAGGAATGCTGGCAGTGAGAGAAATACTCTAGTTCAGGGAAGAGCAAACCTGTTGGTGTTCCAATACCAACCTGCAAATATACAAGTTGGTCACTAACTAATCACTATGGCCTAGAACAAGCAGTGCTTGATAGTCAAGCACTGTTGAATTAGCGATTATTGAATGACAGAAAAAAAAAACAAAGAGTAGCCAGCAAGATGGCTCAGTGGGTAAGGACATTTGCCATCAAGCCTGACAACCCAGAATATATATGGTGGAAGGAGAGAGCCACTGTACTCTCATGTTCACACACTCACACCATAACACCACACATGTACCCCTCCTGCTCACAGAAATAATCAATATGTAATTGTAAAGGAATTATTGAATGAACTTAGGTGTCGCAATTAATATTAATATTAGAACTTACTGTTGGTCATTTCAGCAACTCAGAATTAGTTAAATATTGGAAATTTCATGTCATTTCACCTAATACCACAGAAATTTGTGCTACTGCTTAACATACGTTTTAGTGTCATTGAGTATAATTTACTGTGCCATGCAATGAGCTCTTTAAGTAAATTGTATAGTTAAGGAGCATAAGCACTTATAATTTGATAGGCATTTCCAGGTGTCTATGCTGCTTTCTTCCATGAAAACACTGAGACATTTCCTTGTCTTTTTAGAAATGAGACTACTGAAAAGAAGAATACCGACTTACAGATCACTTGTGAGTCCCTGAACAAACAGATTGAGACAGTAAAAAAGTTGAATGAGTCACTCAAGCAGCAAAATGAAAAGTAAAACCTCTCGTTCTATACCCTAATTATTTGTTATTTTGCAAGTACAATGATTCTCTTTGTGTAGAATATTGTTTTTTATTCATAGCTACTAGACCTCTTCTTTTAGATTATAACAAATTTGTTAGACAATTGTACAAATAATTTTATTCAATAATTTTTCTTTTATAACTTCAGAACTATTGCTCAGTTAATGGAGAAAGAAGAACAGAGAAAAGAAGTCCAGAGCCAGTTAGTAGACAGAGAATGTAAATTATCAAGTAAGTGGCTTTGTTTGAGACACTATCTGTTTTCAGCATATTTTTCTTTGGAAGAAAATCAGAGCATTGGTTGTTTTAGTTTATTAGAACTATTTACTTCTCTTATTAATTTTAAGGATATTGTCTTGGTTATTCTTAACTTTGTGTGTATGTAGATAGCTGGATATATGCACATAAGTGCAAGTGGCCATGGAAGGAAATGTTGGATAAATTGATTTTCAGCAAAAGTAGTACCTGCTCTAAACTGCTGAGCCATCTCTTAAGCCCCAATTTCATTATTTATTAAACAACTTCCCTTTTCTTTGAACTTTCATGAGAGCATTTTCATTCATTTGATCAAGTAAAAAAATGTGGTCTTTTTCTTCAACTCTAGGGGTTACAAGAAATAATAGTCCTTTTAAAGGAAAATTTTTTATCATAACAGCAGGTGGCAGTGCTGGGTAACTTTAGAGTTACTAGTCTAGATGTTTTTATCTGTGAAATGACCATTACTCTTCTAACTCACCTTTCTTACTGTACAAAGACCAAGCTGCTTTATTTGCCATATTTTTTTATTCCCAGCTGTTTTCCAATAACTGTTAATCTCTGCATGTTCCATCCTGTCCTCATTCTGTCCTCCCGTCCTCTGTTTGCCATGCTTGTTTAGAGCAGAGGAAGTAGGCGAAAGACATAAAGACTTGCTATTTTATATAGAATACTGGCAAAAAGGAAGAATTTGTGGATATTTTGATTTATTTATTCTTTACATCTATTTTATGGCGGATAGAGGTTGCCTGTGTGGTAGGTTGTAGGGATTAATTCAGGTTATGGCTAACATTTTTACCTTCTGAGCTATCTCCCTCCCCTGAAGTATTTATTTTTAAGTCTGTAAATTTTATATAAACATATTTCCAACAAGCTATTTGATCATCTTCTTCTTTTCCTTTTATACTAGCTACTTAAGTGCATGACTGTATGTTTGTTTTTAGATTTGCATAAAAAAGCAATGTCCCAAGAAGAAAAGATTAATGTTTTACTAAAGGAAAAGGATGATAAGCAGGAAACCATTGATGTCCTTAGGAAAGAACTAAGCAGAACAGAACAGATAAGAAAAGAATTGAGTATTAAGGTGAGAGCCCTCAATTTTTCTTGCAGGAAAATGGGGGAAAAAAAATCGTTTCTGAACAGAATGAACATGTGTAGATGCAGGATTTCTATTGCTGTGAAAAGACTGCCCAGGCAACTCTCATAGAGGAAAGCATTTAATTGGGTCTGGCTTACAGTTCATTGTCCTCATGGTGTGCAGCATGTTGGGACACAGGCAGACATGGTGTTGCAAAGATAGAAGAATAAGACACTGGGCCTGCTTTGAGCATCTAAGTCTTCAAAGCCCACCCCAGTGACACACCTCCACCAACACAGCCACACCTACTCCACAAGGCCACACCTTCTAGTGATGCTACTACTCCCAGTGGGTCTATAGAGGCCATCTTCATTCAAACCACCACAGTAGATTCTAATTCTTTAGTAAATTTTTTCTTTTTTTTTTCTTTTTTTGGTTTTTGGAGTCAGGGTTGCTTTGTAGACCAGACTGGCCTAGAACTCACAGAGATCTGCCTGCCTCTGCCTCCCAAGTGCTGGGTTTAAAGGTGTGTGCCACCAGTACCCGGAGGTTCTGTAGTAATTTAAAGTCATTAAAGATTTCTTAAGTGCATACTTGGAGCTTTTAAGTGTGAAGAGAATATAGAAAGGGATTCATAGGTCTTCATGTGGCATGAAGGTAGCTTTATTCTACTTACACAAGTGGTAAGGGATTCATAATTGTTTTAAACCCTATAATTTGCAAAGAACCCCTAAAATTGTTCTGTTGATTATCTTCTCTGACAAATATAAATATCAGATTTTAACACTTGTAACTTACTAATGAAGAAATGGAGTCTAAAGTTGTATATGATTCAAATAATAGACATTGTGAATTTTAATCTATATTTTAATGTATGTTATTATGATTGTACAACCTGAGAGGTGGCTGTGAATTGTGCTTTCTAATCTATTTACTTCCCGGAAGATAAGAACAGCCTAGCTTCAAAACTAACTACTCCAGAGCAAGTGTAACATAAGGGGCATTAAACTATTAAACTTCATGGAATGTTTATAGTTTGGGGAATCTGGATTAATCTGGTTATTTTTTAAGTACCGTGTAGCTGCTATATTGGTTCTGTCTCTGTGTGTGTGTGTGTGTGTGTGTGTGTGTATGAGGAGAGAGAGAGAGAGAGAGAGAGAGAGAGAGAGAGAGAGAGAGCTACTTTGTAACCCAGACTGCCTTGAAACTTGCTATGTAAACTGTCTTGCCTACAGAAATCCACCTACTTCCTGTGTGCTGATTGCTATCTCTTTGGCTTTAAAAGATAATGTAAAAGTTCCATTTCCTATAAAGAATAAGAGACATTGAAAATATCTCAGATGGAAAAAAAAAACATTCTGGCATATTTATTCTCTATTTCTTGTTATTCCTTCTTCATTCCTTAGGCTTCTTCCCTAGAAGTGCAGAAGGCTCAATTAGAAGGTCGTTTGGAAGAGAAAGAATCTTTGGTGAAACTTCAGCAAGAAGAGTTGAACAAACATTCTCACATGATAGCAATGATCCACAGTTTAAGTGGTGGAAAAATAAGCCCAGAAACTGTGAATCTCAGTATATAAACATTGTGGCTTTAGGGAAATTAAAATGAATACGTTTGATGTATTCATATATTGGAGGTGGCAGTCAATGAAGGAAATTGTGACTTCTAAACAGTTATCATCTGCTTACTCCTATTAACTTAGTAAAAATTCTAATTGAATTCATGTTTTATTTGGTCTTTGGAATATTAATTTTTTTTAGATTTTATTGTTTGGTTTCTTTAATTTTCACTTTTACATGTCTTATGTATTCTTATTTATGATTGTATTCGTAAATTATTTCATATGGACCATGGATACATTTTCATAAATGTGCTTTTAAGCACTTTAGTGTGTAAACATGTTTGAGTAGACACACAGACTACAAGGACTGAAATGTCATCTTTCAGTAAAAAAGAGAAATGGTCTGATACTAAGTTAATTTCTCTCTAAAGTTAGCAGAAAATAGTAGATTGAAAGGAGTTTCTATTACTGCATTTAAAATTAATGTAAAGCCTAAAATCTAAATTTGAAAATGCAGTAGTTATCAGAAATAATATTTAGAAATTGGGAAGGATCCATTGTGTTAAATGATTATGTAGTCTCTTAAAATTAATAATTTGTAGAAATATTTGTAGAAATATTTGCAACTTTCTTCAGTTCTTTTGGCTTTTTTTTTTCCTTGAGGCATCTCATATAGTAACCAAGGTGTATTTAACTCACTCACTTTCTGTTTCATTTTTTGTTCTTGCTTTTAATTTTGTTGTTGTTGACTTTTTGAGACGAGGTTCCTCTCTAATCCAAACTGATCTTGAATTCACTATGGAACCCATGCTGGTCTTGACTTACAATGATCTCCTGCTTCTGCATTCCCAAGGACTGGAATGTTAAGTGTGATTCACTATATCTGGCTGTGTTTTCTTAAAATGTGGTATGTTGACAAATCCATTCTTGTTTTCAAGGGTAATTAGATTTCTATTCTAGTTACAGTTAAATATGTTAGTTCCTGTAGTATACACATTTAATCTATAAATAGTTTTTTATTGAGCCATTAACTTTTAAAGCAAAAGTTAAGCATCCTTATTTAGGTATTTCAGTCATACAAGGGATTTTTTTTTTTTTTAGCACTTTTCACTTGAATAAAATGTTGTAAGTGTAATGTGATTAAGAAAACATTTTAGATCAATACTGTAGTTTCAGTTACATTGGCAAACTTTTATCTAAAAAATAGGAATAATAATGCATAAGTTTTAAATTGCACAAGATTCTGAGTTAGTGAAATCTTGTACTTTCCTGCTCTGTTTTGGATGAAGAGTCATCTCTTTGTCATGTTTCTACTGCATGGCCCACCTGCAATTTGGCTACTTACTAGTTAACTCATTTATCAAATCATGTTCTTAGGTAATATAATGCTGTATTCAACTAACCCTTATTTTATAGTACTTAATAATGGCTCCAAAACATGCAAAATCAGTTAGTTTGGATGTAATTATCATTATAATTAAAGGAAGTAGGATAACTACAATAATATTTTGAGATTAATACTATAATTAAATAACTCATTACAGCATTTTTATAATTACCATTTTTAATTATTCTCAATTGTTATTCCTTTGCAGTGCATAATTTATGAATTAAACTTTGTAGCTAGGTATAATAGTGTGTGCCTGTAACTCTCTTACTTTGAAAGCACAGACAGGTGGATCCTGAGTTCAAGGTCATTTGATCTGCACAGTGAGGACTTGGTTTATATAAGGATGAAGCTGTGGGGTTTGGTAGAACAGAAGTTATTTAAATTTTATGATATGTATTATAGAAAGATTCATAATACATATAGAACTCAGTACTGTCTCTGGTTAAGGGCATATGAAAGTTTTAGAATATTTCTTCAGGTAGATGGGGGCTGCTATATTCCAATATATTGCTAGTATCCTTTCTCAAAGTAGAGTCATTTCACTCTTTCCTCTCTGAAGGAAAACCATCTTTCATCACTTTCTTTTGTTTCTTGAAGCACATTTCTTGACGTTCCTATTGTTCTTTAACACTTAATACTTTGGGTACTTTTCTGTGTGTGTTTTTGTTTCTTTTATTTTGTTTCTGGTTCTGTGTACCTCAGATTTTAAAAGCAAAAGTTTATATCTAAATACTTTTTTTTCTTTTCTAAAAAGTTTTAGTTAGGTTCACACTATTTTATCATAATTGAGGATTTAGGGATGATTGGTACATGTATACAATGTCTCAAAAGAAAAAAAATGAGAAATTCATCACTAGTATTAGTCAAATCTGCTTAAATTTCTTGGGGGATAAGTCTTCTAAAATACACACTATCGTATTTCCTTTCACTATACTTACAACCTAAATAAATAATGTTCTTTTGATTGATTCAAGTTTAGTCTAAGCTATTTATTAATTTAATATGGGGATAGAAAGATAATGTTGTATCTTAGGAAGAAATCAGATTAGTGATTCTTTGGATCTTAATGTCATAAAGAATATCTGAAGATTGGAGGAAGATTCCTCATGAATTAGGTTTGTTATTTTAGGCTGTGGAAGAGACATAGGGTCATACTCATAACTATTAAACTCTGCAACTGTAGCACAAAAGCAGCCTGGGACAGTAAATAAGTATATATTTCTAGCTGGGTTCTAGCAAACCCTGTTACCCAAAACTGTCAATGATTTGATATTAAATATTGAATTTGCCCACTAAGAAATTTTTGGGAATCTTTGTCTTATGATCTGTTTTGTTTGCTAATAACTGCTACCTAATTTTTGTATTTTCTCTTATCTTGCTAGATTGTGTCTTTTACTTTTTTGTATTTATATATAGAACAGATGACTTATAGATATTGTGTAACTGGGACTGATTTCTTAAATCTCTTCTGACAATAGTTTTAATTCCATCCTCCACTTAAGAGTTAATATTGTAACACAATATATATCAATGTTTCTAAACTTTCCTAATGCTGCAACCCTTTAACACAGTTCCTCATGTTGTAGCGACCCCCGACCATAAAATTATTTTTGTTGCTACAGCATAACTGTAATTTTGCTACTGTTATGAATCATATGTAAATATCTGTGTTTTCAGATGATCCTAGGTGACTACCATGAAAGGGCCTTTCGACACCACCCCAAAGTGGTGGTGTGCAACCTACAGGTTGAGAACCACTGATATATATAGAATGTAAATCTTGCTTCTCTATAGCACCATTAATCACGTTCTCCTTTATGCTCTAGTTGACAGTGTATGTTGTCTATATGTAAATAATAATTCCCATGCAGTATTACAATATTTGCTTTAAGTAGGTAAATGGAAAAACCTCAGCTGTTATCAATATATTTAGCTATTTGCTTGTAGTGATGCAGAGTAGTTTATTATAACATGACTTGTGGGTTTGGGAACATTGCTGTCAAGAGACACCATGACTACAACAACTCTTATAAAGGAACATTTAATTGGGGCTAACTTACAGTTTCAGAGGCTTAGTCCATTATCATCATAGTAGAACACAATGGCATGCAAGCAGATGGTGCTAGAGAAAGATCTGAGAGTTCTACATCTTGATCTTCAGGCAAAAGTAAGTGAACTGTTGCTGGGTGAAGCTTGAGCATAGAAGACCTCAAAGCGCACTCCCCACCATGACACACTTCCTCCAACAAAGTCATACCTACTCCAAAGCCACACCTCCTAGTAGTTCCACTTCCTGTGGGGGCCATTTTCTTTCAAACCACCATAGGGAGTAATAACTAAGTTGTAGGCAGAATCAGCCAATACCAATTTTCTCTTATAATTTTTAGATATTTGGATTAAACCTTTTGTTTCTAGTTCCTAGCTAAATCAATTATTAAATTGGCAGTTACCAATTTTCCTTTATTTTTAATGGCAGAAATTGAACATTCTTGTAATGATAAATGACAAATACCAGTAAATTGCATCATTTATATTGGGATAATTGAAGTACTTAACAGTTTTGCAGTTAACACAACATGTTCATGTGTTGAGACAGTGAGTGTACAGGTGCATTGTTACAAGTGAGATACAAGCTTTTTGTTCTATATTTGAAGAAAAGAAATAATGGATGTTAAGAATGTTGAAGACAGCCAGGCAGTTGTGGCCAGCCTGGTTTACAGAGTGAGTTCCAGGACAACCAGGACTGTTTCATAGAGAAACTGTTGAGAAAAAAATAAAAAATAACAACAAAATGACTGACCAGGAAAGCACCCCACAGCTGCAGCAGGTATTCTCTGGGAATCTGCCATCCAGAATTTCTAGGGAAGCAAGGTGACAAGAAAAGCAGGTAGGTGAGCTTCAAACCCTGGATATCCCTTCGCTCCTGCCGTGCTTTCTGCCATGGTGACAGTGAACTAAACCTCTGAACTTTAAGCCACCACAATTAAATGCTTTCCTTTATAAAAGTTGTAGTGGTCATGGTGTCTCTTCACAGCAGTAAAAACCCTAACTGAGAAGTTGGTACCAGGGAATGGGTATTGATGTGATAGGCCCGACCATGCTTTTGTTTGGAGAAATATGGTACTTTGGACTAGAAAAGCAGTTGGGTACTTTAAGTGGGTTTAATGGACCATAGTAGAAGCATGGAAGACCGTGGTGCTCAGATTTGAACTGTGGGGGCTCAGCTCAAGAGCTTTCAGAGGTAAGGAGTATTAGCATATGGCCTAGAGAAAATTCTTGTAGTATTTTGGTGAAGAATGTGGCCACTTTCTGCTCTTGTCTAAAAATTTACCTGAGGCTAAATTGAAGAGTTTTGGGTTGATTCTGTTTGCAGAAGACATTTCAACACAGCCTGGTGTTAGCTGTGTCTTGTGGTTATTAGTTCGTAGTTTTATGCAGGTCTGTAATGGAAAAATACCAAATGTACAATTAAAGGAGAAAGGGGCACCACAGAATGGAATGAAGCCAAGTCCTGTGTTCAAAAAGATAAACAGATTTTTAAAAAGCCTCATGCTGAGTGGAATAAAGGGAGTGATAACCCCAGGTCAAGACACCACCCCCCCACCCCCGCCAGCTAAGTTTCAAGCTTGTGAAAGGGAATTAAAAGCTTGGGACAAGATGGAGTGATATGTGCCTTGTGAGGCCCAGCACTCACAAGGCAGGGGCCAGCCTGGTCTAAACATCAAAAAAAAAAAAAAAAAACAGAAAGTTGGTGAAGATGTAATTGAACAAAGGGCCCAAGTTCCAATCCCAGTAAACTTGGCAGCTTCAGCTATATGGCTCTAGCTTTAGAGTCAAGGACAAGAGAAAGGGGTTTATGGAATCTCCCTCTGAGACTAAGGAAAGCCACTGAGGCCAGGCATGTATCAGGAGTGTCCCTGCGAGGAAGCCTATAGAGGTCATTGCATGAAGCTACAAGGATGAATAATATTGGAGACCCCATAATGTTAGAGATGCCAGAGTAGCGGGATGCCTGCCGAGGAAAGCTGCTAATGGAGTGGAACAAGCAGTCAACAAAAATGAAAGGATTGGCAATCTGAAGCGCATTTTGACATCAGACATGGAAATGCCCAGCTGGTTTTCAGCCTTGCTCTGGTCCAGTATTGACTCACTATGCTCCCTTCCCTACATTTTGGAATGGTAATGTATATCCTATGCCATTATATGTTGGAAGTACGTGATCTGCTTTTTCATTTTGATTTTTACAGGGGATTACACTTAAGAGATTACATGAATCTTAGAAGAAACTTTGAAATAAGTTTGAGACTGTTATAGACTATGGGGACTTTGGAAGTTGGACTAAATGCATCCTGCATTATGATATGGCCACAAGGCTTTGGGGGCCTGCAAGTGGAATGTGGTGGTTTGAATAAAAATGGCCCTCATGGACTCATAGGGAGTTGCACTATTAGGAGATATGACTTTGTTGTAGTGTGTCACAGGCAGGGCTTTGAGGTTCTCTAAGTTCCAGGCAGGCCTAGTGGTTCACTGGCTCTTCCTGCTATCCTCTAATCCAGAGGTAGAACTCTCAGCTACTTCTCCACCATGTCTGCCTGTATCCTGCCATGATTCCCACCATAATGATAGTAGGCTAAATCTCTGAACTGTAAACAAGGCCCAATTAAATGTTTTCCTTCAAAAAAGTGGTCATGGTGTCTCTTCACAGCAATAGAAACCTCAACTAAGACACCAATAGACTAAGCAGATCTTGGTGGAATACCCTGCTTTCCTCCCTCCTGTGGACCCCCTCAGTGCCCTCCCCAATTGATCCCAGTTTCTAAGTGTTAGATTCCAATATCTATAAATACAATTTCACCAAGAATTGTCATAGCAACATCTATCAGTATTCCAGAATAATTCCCGCCCAAGCAACACAGTCACCACATATTCCTAACAATGAGAGAGGGCAACAGAAAACAAGGGGCAACACACTCACCCAACAAAGAAAGGCAAGAACAGATATAAGCCCCTAGAATTACAATCATCCCAAGTCCAGATGCCTAATGCCAGCATAAAAACAATAACCTGGACAATATCTTCACTAGAGCACAACCCTACCACAGTAGGCCCTGAGAATTGCAGCATAGCTGAAGCACAAGAAAAAGACCTTTATGAATATGATAAAGGTCCTTAAAAAGGAAATTAATAGATCCCTTATAGACTTGAATATCCAAATAAACTGCAACTGGAAATAGAATCAACAAAACAGAATAAGGGAAATATGGGAATGAAAAATTTAGGAAATTGAACAGAGGCAAGCGACTCCAACAACACAAGACATGGAAGAGAATCTCAAGGATTGAAGACTTGATAGAAGAAACAATCAAAGAAAATGTTAAGTTTTACAAACTCTTGCCATAACCCTAGAACACTAAAAAGACTAATTCTAGTTATAATAGGAATAGAGGAAAGAGCAGAAACCCAAATCAAAGGCAGAGAAAGTGTTCTTGACAAAATTTCTCTAACCTATAGTAGGAAATGCTTATCTATGTAGAAGATGGATACAGAACACCAAGTAGACAAAGAAAGGTCCCTTTGACACATAATCAACTAAATCAACACAATAACACTAAACAGACAGGACAAAGAATATTAAAACCTGCCAGGGGAAAAGAACAGGTAACAAAGGCAGATGTATTAGAATAACATCTGACTTCTCAAAGGAGACTAAAAGCCAGAAGTGCCTGGACAGATATGCTGCAGACTAAGAGACTCAGACGCCAGCCGACACTACTATACTGTTGCTGACTTGGAGTGGGGCAACCCCCAGTTAGCACCAGGGTATATAAGAAGATCCATGAAGGCAATGGGGGCTCAACCTTTTCTATCTGAGGGGAAATTAAGTAAACACGAACTTGGTAACCTAAGGGAAAAAAAAAAAAAAAAAACACATTCCTGATGGTAACCTCTTTTACTTCTACTTAAATCT